TATAATATGAAAAGATACGACAATGACTTCTGAGTTATAGAGAGAGGAATACCCCCACCCCACCCCCTGGCATGTGCTAAATATCTACCCTGGATATATTCAGCTTTGGGCTAAGAGGTAGATAATGCCCCACCAGCATGTTGTTGACCTCACCCTGCACTGGAGGAGCCAGACCAGTAGTAGAATCCTTGGGCTACTTATTGTACAAGGATCCTGCTAGACCGAAGCTACTTCTCCAAGTACATTTAAAACCAGACATGGTTCTACCTGTCTGTCCTTTATAGCTTTAAGATTCATCAATAACAAACTCCACTAAAGAAAATACAAAATAACTTCTTTGGTTGTAGCTCTACAAATAAGACTTTAAATAAGAAAGCCTAATAAAAAAGATACAAACTTCTCTCTTTTTCCAAAGGTACTTTAACCACAAAAATATGAGCTCACCCATACATTCACATAGGTATCCAAATATCTTCCAATACAGTTGTTAAAGGAGATGATCACAGCTCAGATTACAATGTTTTCACTGATGGTAAAATTTGATGATTAGAAAAGATGAAGGACAAAAGGGAATCCTCTGGTGATCTGTTGCCAAGCTAGGCAAACTTTTTTCTTCACAATATACTTATCCTTGGCAAGAATGTTATGAGAAATAACAAGGGAACATGTGGAAAATATTCAGGGTTCTTTGAAGAGACAAACTTTCTCTAATAATTGGAAGGTGTGATAGGCTTTAACTCTCACTTTCTAACCAACAGTAGCCTGGGACCTGGCAGCAGCATTTTTCAACTCTTTGCTGACTGTAGACATTTCAGGGCTCTACAAAGGGAACAGGGGTTAGGTGGAATGGAAACAACTCATATATCTTCACTTTGTTTTTTTCTGCCTAAATATCAAGATGAAAATAATGATGTTTATTTTCATCTAAAATTATACTGAGGGGCTGGGGGATGTGGCTCAAGTGGTAGCGCACTTGACTGGCATGTGTGAGGCACTGGGTTCGATTCTCAACACCACATAATAAAATAAAGATATTGTGTCCACCTAAAACTAAAAAATAAATATTTTAAAAAATTACACTGACTGTCTTTTCAAAACAAATACTATCTCTCAAAGTTAAGAAAATGTTTAAGTGTTTAATAGTTCTACGTGGCTAAAAGCCAGTGTCTAAAATTTTTACCATCTTGCTCACAAATACAAACCGATCTTTCAATTGTTACTATAGCTACTTTTTGCAATCTGCTTCTTGAGAATCACAATTATTACAAAGCAGTATCTTAAAAAAGAATTCTCTCTCTTACTTTGATAATTGAAGACCAAAACACTCTACAGTGTTGTCCTCCTCTAAATTACAAAATTCTACCAGATGAACACTTTGCGTTACTTAAAATATAAATGGAGATCAAATAACTAACCACTCAGGTCCCTATTTACTAAACCACATAATAATGGGTCTATTGCTAATCTCTAGATCTAATTCTCAACATACTTTCAAAAACAGTTAGTGACCTCTTTTTCTCACTAAAAAAGAGGTCACTGTTTTTTGTTTTTAAGTTGTTGATGGGCCTTCCTTCCTTCCTTCCTTCCCTCCCTTCCTTCCTTCTTCTTTCTTTCTCTCTCTCTCTTTCTTTCTTTATATATATGTGGTCCTGGGGGTGAATTCTGTGCCTCACACATGCTAGCAAGTGCTCTACCACTGACTTAACAACCAGAGCCCTAAGGTCACTAACTTTTACTGCTCACTCCTACTCAAAATATTGAGTCATGTGCATTTAATATGTGTATATATATTTAATATATATATAACTAAATTACACATATGCATATTTATTCATAAATGAATTTCAAAAATAGAAATTTTTAAAAGGCTGAGATACAGGCTCTCATTAATAAATCTTATCTCACAAAATATAGATTTTGTGCCCTTATTCAGAGGCTGCTGACTTAAAAAATCATTTTGTTCAAGCTTTAAGTATCCTTTCTCTAACATACATAACATAACATACTAAGCTGAAGGCTGCTTTAGGTACAACCTTGAATGGATGGGTTGACTGGAAGGGGGTCAATACAATTACACTTAGATCTCACAGTATGGCTCCTAAGAAATGACCAGGTATGCTTGAAGGCCCATGAAGGATTAATCTGGAAGATCCTTGGGAGAAGCATGGCAGAAGCATCACAGTGCATATGTTAGAGGCATGAATATTACTCTTGAAGAACCTATACATAAAGACTACAAGGAATATTTCAACAACGTAATAACAACAAATAGTGATTCAGAAGAAAACTCATCAAAACCCCCACTATGGACAACCTACTGATTGTAAGAAAGAAAGATGGGGCAAAGACACTCAACCTGGACTTTTCAAAACAAATACTCTCTCTCACAGTTAGGAAAGTGTTTAAAGCTAAGGTGGTCCGGCTAGCCTTAACAGCTTTCAGGGGCAAAAAACACGGTTCTTTAAAAAAGAAGTACAGTAGGCTGAAATTGATAATCTTTAATATCAATGCTTAGAAATCTCAACTTTCCTTCAGGCTTTCTACAAGACAACTTGGATACTGCATCCATTTCCTTCCACACCAGAAATTCTCAATGTTTCTAGTTAATCCACTATATTCACCTAAATGAAGGTTTTGAAATGTGTGACTAAGAGATCAATGCTCTTTTATCATTTCATGTATGTACACTTAAAAATATTACCCTCAGTTCCTATTATAATACCAGCATGCAAGAGAAAATGAAGTCAACCTAAATTCAGTCAATGAAACTGGATATGGCCATGAGTGTTAGTACTTCTAGTTTAGTCTTCTTTCCATCTACAATATCTACTGATGTGTTTTACCAACACCATTTACATATACATGATCTTTATGATGAGATTATAATAGCAGCTACCAATTGATGAAAGTCTACTATGTGAACTTTGTATTTCTTTTCAAATTAATGAGATAGTTATAATCCCATTTTACAGATGAAGAACACATTTTTAAACGTGTCAATTTATTTACTTTAAAATCAGTTTGTAAGTGGTTAAAGCCATATGAAACCAGGTCTCATTTTAGAACTTGTATTTTTTACTTATTATCTTTTTGTAGTACTGGGGGTTGAACTCAGGGCCTAGGCAAGTGCTCTACCACTGAGCTACACCCTCAGACCCCTAGAATTCACATTTTACAACTATTTCACTAGATGCTGTTTCCAAATCTGCCCCTATCCAATTTCTTTCAATGTTATGGTTTCCCACTGTTTGTTAAATAAAAAATAATTACTATATAATAAAATGTGAAAAGAAGTAACATGATGTATTGGAAACAACACAGTCTTTAGTATCTAAAAGCTACTAAAGATCTATGTTCAAATCCTGGCTCCATGACTCATTAGTAATATTACCTCAGAAAATACACTTAACTTTCTGAGTGCCTGTTTTTACATGGATAGGAGGAATAATGATTAAGTATCCTGCAGGTGTTCTGAAGACTGAGCATGCATACTGAATGGTGCCTGGCAATGCAGTAAGCATGCAATAAATGCTATTATTATTTTTAGATACACAAAGTAGTGTGGGGAGTAGAGAGAAGGCAACAGATCTAGAAGACTTGAATATCAAGTACATGATATTCTGAGGAAGTTCCTGCTAGTTTCAGTATCTAAACTCCGTATACCAATCTTTCCCAAACCTCTGACGATGACCCAATGTGCTCATGGTTCACTCCTTGACACTACTTGAACATGCTGATAGTGCTAAGACTAGAAGGAAAGAAAAAAAAAAAAAAAACTAAAAGTACACTGCACATGTGAAATGTTAGACCTAAACCAAAGGGCTCTGAATGTTTAAGCTTATGGCTAGAGTGGGTAGGCAGGTGGCTCTACAACTTCCCACTAGCTAATAAGGATGATCTGTCTTATGCCAGGGCACAATTCTTTTACATCAATCAGTAGAGAAATCCACTCTATTTATTGGAGCTTGCGGACTAGGCTCAAGAGAGGATACCAGGACTATCTCACCCAACCCTGCTTAAAAGTTTGTCACTTAGAGAAGTAAAATTAAGTTCTGTACAGCTCAATGCCAGGATGCTACTCTAAAACTATGCAAAGACAGTTCTGTTTGAAGTTTAATATCAAAGCCTATAAAGGAGCTGAGCTTTCAGTGTAAGTCATACTTGGAAGTAGTTTGCACTATTTCTATTGGAGAGTTACAAGGAATTTTTAAGTACAAAAATATTCTGACTGTGACCTTTAGAAAAACAATATAATTATTATTTTTTATAATTGTTTTTTACTCTTCTACATATAATCCTTGAGATATTTTAAATAGCAGGCAGTATTATTAGAAAAGGCAAGTATTGTTTAAGATAAATTAAGCTATAGGCTAAGAGAGCAATGGGCATTATGACTGTTCTTTAGAGAGCTGTAAGATTCATGTCTTCACATTTAATAAAAATGTCACAGATGCACAAAAGACGTTTTTGCGACTCCAAGCAACTGAAAAGAATGATCTCAGCACATTCCGTGGCTTTAAGATGAATAAGAGAGAGTAATTTTCCAAAACTAAGATACTATGATAGTCAAGTTAAAACACCAATTTTTTACATTAAAACTTCTGTTGCTCTCTGTTCTCTAGTATTTAAACAATGTATGTTTGTTTTTGATAGGTGCAAGACTTGGACAAATTAGCCACATGCTAAAAACTGGGAAATGACCTGCATTTTGATGTTATGTTTTATGTCCTAATAACAATCTTCAGATAGTAGGAGATAAACTTTGATGTCCATCTTCTTGGATCTACCTGACAACATTACCCAGTCAATCTGACCCCCAAGAACACCACCTCTGGTTTCTGCTCACATGCCATACCCAATGCAGAGCATAAAATATATTATTTCACAATTCATAAAAGAAATCAGAGACTACCCTGGTAAGCACACCAAGTTAGAACCAGTGGCTCATTTCTATTAGGAATTCAGGTAAGGATGAATTCACATAAGAATGATGTACATACCTGTACCACAGGATCTTTTGGTTGGTGTGATTAACGAGACATGAGCTGTGTCTGTGCATGGCCCACCTAGAAACAGAAAGGCAGGCACATCAGTCAGAACATATCCTCCACATGCCCATAGTTGCTACCTTGAAGAAAGAAACCTAAAGAGGAAAGGATCAACCTGCAAATATGTACGAGGAGGGTAGTAGGAAATAGTGGTGAGTTAATTCTAAAGACCTAATTTTAGTTCAGCAATTGTCTCTCTAGAGATCCATAGCCTCTCACCTTAAAACTTGCTTTCTACAAAATAGTCACATAATTTTAAGAAGTTAAAGATAAAAAATTTAATTAGAATTCAAATCTAGGTGAGAAGAAATTACCAGTAAGTTTGGGGAGATGAGTTTTTCCATAAAGCAATAAGCAGGAATATTCCCTCTTTTGATCTCAGTGGTCATTCTATCTTTGAATTTACTGTAAAACTATCCATATTTAAAAGAAAGAACCCCCCAAGGAATAACAAATTGCTTGTCAGAAGAAGTAAGGATCATTCTAAAACATAAGGAAGGCCCTGCTGACCAAGAAAGAACATTTAGTTTTATTATAAGAACTCTGATTGATATGAAGCAGAAGCATTAGACACACCTGTAACCTCCCACAACTTGAGAGGCTGAAGCAGAAGAATGGCAAGTTCAAGATAAGACCCTATTTCAAAAATAAAAACAAACAAACAAACAAAAAGGGCTGGGTATGTAGCTCAGTGGTACAGCCCCCCTGGGTTCAATACCCAGTATTCAAAAAATAAGGAAAGGAAGAAGTATGATGAAGAGAACTGTCAAATAATCTTGGTGGGCTCGGAGAGCTGATTCATAGCCATAAACTGAGAGTGTGCAAAAGATATAGTCAGTCAGAGGATGAAGGTTTGAAAAGCAGTAATTTCATTCTGTAAGATCAGGACCATCAAAACATTCTGAAGTTGACATGGATACACACCCCAGCATCCCTCCCCCACTGACCATGCCCTACCTTCTGAATAGAAAGTTACTATATAAATATGAAGGCCAGTGATTCTTGACTTATCCTTGGAAGGGCAGTGGTGATAATCAGAGAGGAACTGAACACAAAGGGTAAATGTTAAACATCTATTTTGAAAAAGCTTCCCAAGTAACTATGACTAGCAAAGGGGAAACACAGTTACTTGGCATAGTTGTATATCATCTAGGACAAGACTTCATGTCACTGAAGTTACTCAATGTAAAGGAAGGAACCTGATAGAGCTCTGAGACCTGTTCTAGTTTATGACACTGAGATGCAAGGGTTTAAGAACCTGGAGATTCCACTTATGGAACTTAAGCATTTCTATACCAAGGTCAACTCTTTCCTATACTTAGGTCATATAATAACAGTAACCCTTCGTAGATATAAGAAGGCACAGAGGGGAAATTCTTAAAGGTAGCAAAACAGAATAAGTGCACTGTTAACTTCAAAGACTACTTAGCACACATCTACTATGTGCCACCACAGGTTCACAGTCAGAGAACTTATCATGTTATTAGGAAGGCAAAAATATATGTACCAGAGTAAAGAACAAGAAATGAACAACAACAACAACAAAATGGCTGGACAAAAAATGACCAAGTACTACAGTACAGAACAGGTAATAAATGTTATATGTAATGAGGAAGAAGAATGTTCATCAGTGGCCAAAAAAAAAAGTGGAAATGCAACAATTTGAAAATGAGGCAAGAATAAGTTAAAAAGTTTAGGAAGACCAGAGAGCAGGGTACTACAACTGAATGTTTTTCTACAAATGTTACACTCGCCAGAGAAAGCTTAATATACTAAAATTCCAGGGGTTCAAATGGGGCAACTGTGACTTGAAAACATGCAATATGAAGAGATAATGAGCCACATATAAACCTAACACCAATCCCACCTCCTTAAGAACCCTCTAGGCACTGGCTTTTTACAACTCTGCAAAATGCTGTATTTTCTATTTCCATGTTTTGTTGGCATTCTTACTTCTGGGACACTACAGGCTTTTATGGAAGACACAGTTTAGGTCCATGCTGTAACTATTCCTAACTTGCTGAATAATCCTGGGTAAGTGGTCCTTAGGTTCTTCAACCAAAAAAAAAAAAAAAAAAAAGAAAAAAAAATGGAGGGGGGGGGATAATAGAATTGCCAGTAAGTCAGAGAGTTAATGGATTATCTACTACATTTATAAACTCTAAAACTTTATATTACATATCATCACTTTCTTTTCCATCACATTTTATGTTACCAAGAATTAAGACTCATTGTTATCTGGTCACAGATCATGACTATGTGGACAGTAGGTGCTTAACAATGTTCATTAAGTGACAACCACCAGCTGTTTGACTTAATCAGGAAAGTAAAGCACATTTTTAAAGAACTTTTTAATGGGGGTATAACACGAGAAGAATAAAATATAGGTATCCTATATTTCCTATATATCCAAAATACTTAGGACCAGTACACTGTATACCCTTTATATATAAGTTTGAAAGTAATTTTACACAATATTTTTGTTGGGCCTTTGTTTTGACTGTGATCCATGATGTGTGTGCAGGCATGGAATTATCTACTTGTGGTATTCATGTTGGGGCTCAAAACCTTTTTGATTTTGAAACATTTTGGATTAGGAATACTCAACCTATATTAGAATAAATTACCCAAATCCTAAATGTATGGTCCTGAGGGATTTTAACATAAACATGCACAGGTAAGACTGATATAAAAATATTAGAACATTTTCTACATCCAGAAAAATATAGATTCCCAGGTCTTGGGTCTGGAAATTTTGATGCAATAGGGAAGAATGAGCATAGGAGGCCATTAGTGCATATTTCTAAACCAGCTGAACACTAAAATATTAACAGCCCAGTTAGTTCTAGCATCTGATAACAATTTCTTCACACATAAGCTCAATATCTGGCCACGGTCACTGGGTTACCACAACATAAAGCTGCACAAAGCACAAAAGCCAATGACAGCATAACTATCAGAGTACTTTATTTTCAAAGGTATAAGATAATTCATCCGGTAAAATTACAAAAGAAGGGAAGTCATCAAAGCACCTAAAGAAATTTAGCTGTGTAACACTTCATATTTACAAATGTCTTAGATAATTATCAAATAAGAGAATCTTCACCTCATTTGTGGACTGAGAGTTTATCCTTTAAAAAAAGACTCTAGTGAATGACTTTCTGTAGGTTTTGGCAAATATGCAAATAACTTTATGGCTACCAAGCATATCTCAACATGAATCATCATGAGAGTGTTCTCTAGAGAGCTTGTTAAACTAACAACCCAATCCAATGTATTCACTACATTACAGTAAAGTACAAATAGAACCAGAGTTGAGCCAAGACAAATTGACAGCAAGAGTAACCGGCAGTGATAATATATTCCAGCTTTGATAATTGGGCAATATTATAAAGAGAGCTTGGAATTAAGTTTGGTTTGGCAGACTATAACCTATGAAGCACTTTAAAACCAGAGTGGAGGCACGTGAGCACCTCACATATATCCTACACTAATTGTGCTGTCATCCCAAACTCCAATACTCTCAAATAAAAGGAGCAACCCCAGGAGATGACAGTATCTACCCTTACACAATTAATTCCAAGTCAACTCTTAAAATGCACGAAGGAAATCATGGGCAACTCAAGGGAAACCTTTTTAAGTTTCTGTCCACAACAAGAAAAACATAACATGATTACCATGTGGTTATAATAAACAAAATAGTTCCGATAGCTGATTGTCAAGGTCAAAGTGAGGGCCTCTGCTCCATTAAAAAAAAAAAAAAGGCTTTGGCTTTTTCCTTTCTGGACTTTCCAATGTCCGAGGGCCTGGCATATGTCCACATAAGTCACTGTAAATTCTACTCCCATTTTTAGCTAGCTGTCTTCTTTCCAAGCAGCAGGACTGAATACAGATAGTTAAGAAGAACAAGAAAAGAAAATCTCTTCATGACTATAGGTTCTCTAGGTGAATGGGAAGTGAGATGGAAGGGGAAAGTATGTTTGGTGGAACTCAGGCTGGGAAAATAAATATATTTCTTAACACAGAGCAATTCAAACCATTATCTATGTCATCCAGAGAGGCTCAATGTATGAAGCCTAAAAGGCATTTATTTTAGGACTGCAATTCAGGGGAGCTGAGATTCCAGTAGAGACTACAATGTGTCCCATTAGAGGAGTTTAGAGTATCCTTTTAAGGGTAAAAAGGAAGTTCATTGGTCTTCTATACAGACCATATCATTGTTCTAGGAAAGAATTCAGTTTATATACTCTTCAGAATATTCATGCTTGGCAAATAATTTTCTTTTGGTATGTTAGCAAGTTCACAGAGTGGTCATCATGGCACAAGATGAAGTCTGCATCATAAAATGGAGTCACTTTTTATGACTGGAAGGGCTGGATTACTGGGGATTGTACCCAGGGGCTCTCCACTACTGAATTACATCCCAGCCCTTTTTGTTTTTAAATTTTGAGACAGGGTCTCATTAAGTTGCCGAGGATGGCCTTGAACTTGAGATTCTTCTGTCTCAGCGTCCCAAGAGGAGGAGATTATAGGCATATGCTACCAGTGCCTGGCTATCAATTCTCTATTTTCTAGCCTATATTAGTGGCAACTGGGTTTAGAAAAATAAGTGGGGTTTTTAAAATGTTTTGTTTATGTTTTTTCAAATCATGAGGTTCCTTGCTTAATCATGGCAGAATTTCTGGGATCTCCAAAGCAGTTAATATCAAGATTACCAACTTGAACTAACTTTTAGTTAATTATTATTAGTGTTTAAAAAAAATTTTTTTTGGATAAAACTAAATTAAAGAAGATTTTTCAAGTTTCTTTATTGTCTGAAGATATTTAATAAAACTCTAGCATTTTGCCTTTGATATTACATTCAGAGGACTTTTTCCTTAAATGTCAAGTTTCAACAATGTAGTTTAGAATATGCAAGTGAATAATGTCTGTAGGTAGCTTGTGATTTATGACAAGTCTGAATATCTTATCTTTTCTTTTAGAGACGTTTCTATCTTGTTTTAAATACATATATTGTA